CAACAGTAGGAGCCTGAATGGAAAGCTTAAAGTCCACAGCCACTACAATGGAGAGGGACCGAAGAAAAGAAGATACGAATTGGCCTTGCCATGTAGCGTGACCAATCGCAGCCAGGAGCTAGGTGGAGTCATCGATCTAAAGAAAAGTGTTGACTCACACATGCTGGCCAGCTTCCATTTTGACTTGAAATGTTCGTTTTGGGCTTCTCGGAAGTATGTAAAGGCAAGAATCAGTCAGGGGGAGCACCAGCCTGCAACAGCACCCACCTGAGAGGTGCCGGAACTGCGCTCTGGTACGCCCTGGCTGAAAAAAAGCACTGCATGCACTTATGATCTGTTAAAAATCACCAAGTCTGTTCAATGCACCTAGTTGGGAGCAGGGGCTAGGGACATAGGAAGCGGCATTATATAGCATTAGGTCATTGGTCTGTCTTGCTCAGTATTGTCTATGCTGATTGGCTGCAGTTCTCCAAGCTTCGGATAGAAATCATTCTATACCTACCTGGAGATAACAGGTGTTGAATTGAGACCTTGTGCATGCCAGGCACGTGCCCCACAGACCTATGGTTCCGCCCCATACATTCATTCTACAAACCATTTTGGCGAATGGCCCTGCAATGTGGTTTAAGGAATTACCGGTAAATGGAGTTTATCACGGAGTATGAGCTTCGTAGGAAGCTGTGATCAATTACATCTCCCCAGTGAATATGCCTGGATGATATCTGTGTTTTCCATACATGGATTTTGTGTCAAATTGCCTACTTACATTTTTACATGTACACAGAAAATGTCTCCCATGCATGTAGGCAGAAAAAACATACTGTGTAAGGCTGTCCATATTCTCATAGAGTTTAAAGAGGAAGGAAGCCCACTCCATCATTAGCTTGTCACATAAATAAAGAATTGCACAACACACTATGAAGTGGATTACATTTGTGGATTAGTAGCCTTAACAGTATAGCTTTTATCCTTGTTTAATGACCTCTTGCTATGTTAGCAGCCTTTTGTGTGGGTCAGGAACCAACCCTGATGTCAATGAAGTGATGATGCAACTTTTTATAATGGAAAAATATATTTGTTTCACAAAGACCTTTAGGCACTAAGCAAAAAGTAAAACAACAACACACACCTTTTAGGTTTCCCCTAAGCACTGAGGAGATTTGAAAGAAATGCATATTTTCCAAATTCATTATATACATTATATACAACCACAACAAACAAAACAGCCCAGTGAGACAGATGATATTATCAGAACATCTAAAGGATGGGGGGAAGACTTCAGATATTGAAGTCAGAATATCTCTACATAGTGACTCATAAGTACATTTTCCTTAGATACATACTATTACTTACATACATTTTTAAATTAGAAATTAAAGTGCTAGCTTAGTTTCCCAGCACTGGAATAAATTACAGCAAGATACAGTTCATCCTTGCCCCCATGCAGACATATTTACACATACAGACTTCCTATTTAACAAGATTCCCAATCATTTCAATGGCAAGAGAGGATCTGTGTACATAAACTAATTTATGTACAGAGCAGTTCCCTCCATTGAAATGTATGTGGACCAGATAGGAACTTCTGCATTAAGACCAGATCAAAGACTTGAGGCAGTGGGGTGAATCATTAAAAGAAACCCCCTTGCCCAGTGCCTCTGATGACCCTTCTCTCTGAAGTGCCTGCATTTTCAAGGACTAAGGACAGAAGACACACAAAATTGCTCACTAGGTGCTTATTTCACTTTCTGTAACAAGCTTAGCTTTTCTTTGGTGCAATATGGCAAGCATTTGGAAGAGCTTATTTGCTTGATGGACTCAAGTAGAGAAGCAAAAGAAATTTCACTTTACTCCATTTCTTGGAGTACTTGCCCGAGAACTAGTGCTATAAAAACCAGAACAAAACAAAGACGATGACAACAACAACAACAAACAACACGTGACTAAGTTTTTCAGCTTTCAACAAGGGCCCTACCCTCCATTATACCAAACACTGCATATTAACATGGATGTAAGAGAATTGATGCTTTTGAATTATGGTGCTGGAGGAGACTCTTGAGAGTCCCATGGACTGCAAGAAGATCAGACCTATCCATTCTTAAGGAAATCAGCCCTGAGTGCTCACTGGAAGGACAGATCCTGAAGCTGAGGCTCCAATAACACCTCATGAGAAGAGAAGACTCCCTGGAAAAGACCTTGATGTTGGGAAAGATGGAGGGCACAAGGAGAAGGGGACGACAGAGGATGAGATGGTTGGATAGTGTTCTCGAAGCCACTAACATGAGTTTGACCAAACTGCGGGCGGCAGTGGAAGACAGGAGTGCCTGGCGCGCTCTGGTCCATGGGGTCACGAAGAGTCGGACACGACTAAACGACTAAACAACAACAACAACAAGAGAAAGCAGGGTGGAATCATAGGTGCCAACTCCTAGGGGCAGGTTGTCCTCGCCCCCCTCAATATTTGTTGGTGGCAAGCTGAGTCCCCCCCCCAATGTTGAGGGAGCAGAGGAGGCCAAGCATGGAGATGAGCACAGCGAAGCATCAGTGGCTGGCTCCTCCTGAGCGCAAGAGAGGAGGAGCCACCGGCTATTGAAGCCGCACGGTCCTGGGCTCTGGGCTCAGCCTCCTCCCAACGAATTGCACACCGTGCGTGTGATGTCACAGGGACATGTGACACTGGGCTGCCTCATTTTTGGGAGCAATACTGGGTGGAATTCAGCATTGAACTAATTTGGGAATATGTATGCAGATGAAGCTTACTTCTGCAACCGGACTCCCCTCGCTTTCCTCTCCCTATGCACCCACTAAACTTGTTTTTGTGTTTCCTCTCAACCCTCCAGAGCAGATTTAGGGGCTACGCAATGGAGGGGGCAGGACAGTTCAGCTGAGCTAGGGAACTGCGTTCCGTGCACGCGCGACAACTTCATTGAATCTCGCCAATCAGATGTTTCTTCATTAGGTGAAGAATTCACAAGGGAATCTCTGACTAAAGAAAAGTGACTGAAGCATGCAGAAGCACAGGTGCTGGAATAATATATATGTTTTAAAATAACCCCAATAATAATTAATTTTTAAACAGAGGACGAGCCCTATAGGGTCAAACCAAAGGCCTACCTTGCACATCTGTTCCCCAGAGTGGACAACCAAATACCTCTCCGGGAAGCCCCAAAGAACGACCTGAAAGCAATAGTCCTCTCCTCCTGTTGTTCCCCCTAGCAACTAGTTCCTTGTTACCTCTGATCCTGGAGGTAGCATATAGCCAGCACCATTTAGGGCCTCTTGGGAACAAGGGACACCATCATATTTTATGAAGCTGAGATATTTGGGCATCCGTGATATTTAGGCATCTAAATCAGGGCTGTAGAACTACAGCTCCCATTGTGACCACCTGTGACCATTGGCCATGCAGGTTGGGGCTGCTGGGAGTTTGGAGTCCAACAACATATGGAGGACTATAGGTTTGCCACCCCAGTTCCTAAATAAAATGATGGTTGGATCTCAGAACCCTATTCCTAAGTGGCCTCAATAGTGTACCTCGCTGACAAGAATTAGAAACCCAAGGCCAACGGCAAGCCCACTCCTACTTTCTCAGGCTAAGTATACTGAGAAACAACAGTACTTGCTCTCAAGTTCTCGAGTAGAGGATTGCAGCCGCACCCTTTTACTAAAATGGTAGAATTATGGGTAAGGTTATCCAGGCATAACAGTGTATATCGATCTCATAACAGGAACTGCTTTCTGTGCTTCCAGTTTGACCATGCCAGCCTTGGAATGACTGGTGGGCACAATCTGAGGAATGTTCAAACATTTCCCCCTTTCTTTGTTAATAAAGCTAACCTGAAACTTTATGGCACATCAGCAGGTCAATTAATCCAGCAATTGTGACTGCAGCGTTTGGTTACTAAGCATCCCTCTTTTTTCTTTCTTTAAGAATATCTGTTATACATAATATCAGTCTTCCTTCCACTCCCAGATTCCACTTGCAGATTCTTGTTATGTGTGTGTGTGTGTGTGTGTGTGTGTGTGAGAGAGAGAGAGAGAGAGAGAGAGAGAGAGAGAGAGAGAGAATGAGTGAAATACCATATTTTTCCATGTATAAGACTAGGTTTCCCCCCCTAAAAAATAATGTCAAAAATTTGGGGGCGTCTTATACATGGATACATCTCCCCTCATTTTCTTAAATTGGAGTCCCCCAAAATAGGGGGCGTCTTATACATGGGCGCGTTTTATAGACGGAAAAATACGGTAAAAGGGGAAGGCATGTTTGCACCTGCTTGTTATTGCAGAAACGACAGCCATTCCCAAGTGGCAAAGGAGCAAACCCTGTTTGGAAACCACTCAAAAGTGATCTTCTCACAGATGTGGCAAGCACCTTAGACAGTGATGTGCCTCCAGGCCTGTCTAGATCATCCATTTTACCTTGCAGTCTAGCCAAGTTTCTGTTTTTTTTAATAAAAAAAAGCAATGTCATTCCCTACCAAGGAGACAGTTCCATGTACTGTTTGGTAACATACCGTAATATGGCTCGATACTGTACACAAGTGGAAAGTGCTACCATACACACAAGGAAGGGTAGTGGTGGTGGAGCTGTTGATTTGTTTGTCTGGCTACATTGGGACAGGGGACGTGAGGAAACCATAGTTAAAAGAGAGGCTGGGAATAGAGAGAACCTGGCTTGTAGGGTCAGTAGGGAAAGAACAAGCTTTCTATGCAGAAGGTCTCCTTCAATCCACATTATCTCTAGGCAGAGTTGGGAATGGTTCCTGCCTGAAACCTTGAGAAGCTGCTGAGCTAAGGGGACCAGTGGTTTGACTCACGTGTAAGGCAACTTCTAATGCAACCTTGTCCACTGCATTTTTCTGGTACCCAGATTAAGTTTTCCTGGAGAAAACTCTTTAAAAAAACCACACACACCTATGAACACTGGATTCCAGGTGCTGCATGAAAAACAAGCAGTATGTGGGAGATCCCTCATGTGAAGAAAGAATGGATAAAGCATATACACTTGAGAGACATTGTTTAGGAAAGCAGTTTCCTGTTACAAATGAAGGTGGAGGTTTTGTCACCAGAATCCCAACTTCAGGGAAACTTCACGCCAAAGGTCATTCCCACGTAGAAAATCACCATGAACATTGGGCAGCTGCACATATGCCTATTTTGCCAGATGTGCGCATGATGTGTTTATTCGTTAGGAAACCACCGTTCAGTGCAGTTTCCCACAGCATGAACACATGGCATTATGTTCCTCACGCCTAACAGCGCACATGCAATTTGCTGTAACAGAAGTGATACTAATCTAGGACATTGCCTTCTGTGAAAAGACACTCAGAGGTTACCAACTCTCGGTTTCTGATTCGCTAGAAGATTGAGCGTCAGATAAATTCCGTGTGCAGACCAGCATCTCTGTTCCCCTTCAGTAAGTTGGTATTATGGGGCAACGACTTCTGATTCTTCACCATTTAGCTATGGCTGTTCCTTCTTTTCCAGGCGCTGGTATTGATTCCCTTTTTAATTTGCGGTTCAGTCGTCTCATAGGACTCACTTGTGCAGGTGAGGAACCATGATAGAAATGGTTGCCACAAGTCCGTATTCCACCATTTTGCTACAAGTCCATGTTCCCAGCCTCCATCTCAGGGGAATTCCTCCGTTCTAAGAAAAGAAGGGGAAAGTGTTATTGAAATACTATGAAACACTTCACGCTGCCATTGAGCTAATACATTTTTTTAATCCAGCTGTATAATGAGTACTGGAGTAGTATTTTAAAGCTTGACTGCATTGGTGGTTTACTATATAAAAAGATCTCTGCTGGATCAGACCAAGAGCTTCTCTTGTCTAGCATTCTTACCTCACAACGGCCAACCAGATGCCTATGGAAAAACCCACACATAGGTTCTGAGTGCAACAACAGTCTCCTCACTTGTACCGGTAATTCCAAGCAATTGTTATTCAGGCACATACTGCCACTGATACTGAAGGCAAAAAACTGCTTGAGGGCATGAAGCGAGGCTGGCGAGTGGTGTGCCAAGGGCCAGATAGAGGCCTGGATGGCCGCATTTGGCTCTTTGGGCTCTAGACTCCCCACTCCTGCATTATTTCACTGTATGGCACTGCCTGTTGTAACAAAACATGCCTCCTTTAAAAACGACGGCACATACCTAAAGGCTTAAATGATAGAAATGGCTCCTTAACTAGCAACTCCTTGAGCTAAATTAGATTTCCTGCACTGCACACAGGTCTGCTTTATTTATTCATGCCGTGTTTTACAAGTCATACTAGAACCCCATGAAAAATTAAGCTGGGGATATAAAAGATTCATGACTTAAGCTCTTGACCCATTAAAAGTTCAGAGCTTTGTGCAAAAGCAGTTCTCTTGGGGCACCTTAGCATACAGTCGAGTAACTACATGCACACCCTGTTCAATTGCTCCTCTCTTTTCTTTGTCCGCTGAGGGACGGTGACATTTGTTGGTGGCCATGTAAGCAGCTCACCAGTCAACACTTCCTGACTCTTGGCCACTGAGCTTCACGGCCTACAAAACTCTCCTGCCCCCAAAGCTGAAGAGGGGCCCATTTGCTTTGCCTCCTTTTGCCCCTGCGTTAGCCCTCAGTTTTATCTTTATTTTTTTAAAGCAAACGTTTAGACGACAAACGTGGCAAAGCCCGGTTAAGCACAGCTCTGACAAAGCAGCGGGAACCAAGTAAAACTCCGTAGGCACTTCCTAGCAATCGTCTGGGGATAATTGCTGTCAGCCAGAACTCAGCCTTATAGGCCCTGATAGAAAAGCTCCCCTAACTGCTAGCTATTTGTTCTCTTGCAAATAGAGGCTTAGCATCCGCGTGGGTGGGATGTGCCTGGATTTTCAGCAATTATGGGTTGCATTCTCAGCAGGTGCAGCAAGCCAACCTCCCTTGGTTTAAATCACCAGCACTTCGCTCGAAGACCTGAATGCTTTATCGTTAACGTTAAACTCATGCCAATATGTGCTGTGTTTCTCGGGTTACTGGAACGATTCTGATTTTGTTGTGAAAATCATTCTTCCTATTCCTGCCTGGCAAGACTCCTGGGCAGTTAAGAGAATTGGCAAGAATTTAACAGGCTGTGTAGAGGGGAAAAGGTGGCAAATCCAGCGAGATTTACTGGATAACTACTTGACCCAGTGGTATTTTACTGTGATGCGGATATATTTACATGGTAAGCTGTGAGATGTATTTTTCAAGTGGAAACTATTTTTCATATATCAGGAACTGAATCAGAAATCATGGGAAGCAGGACAGTAAATTTCTCCTCACCACCTGGTGAAATTATGTGCAAGTGCCAAACTTTTAACCACTGCCTTTCTTTTAGAAAAAAAAAGGTGCCGGAACTGCGTACTCTTGAGTACCCCCAGGGAAAGAAAAAAACACTGGTTGTATTTTTGTACAGGGCAGCTTCAAAGACTGTTTGTGCAGACATCATGTTAGAGAGATCTTAAACGTGGTTAAAAGATTGGTAGCAGGCAGCAACTCACTCCCTCTCTTCCTTTGGCAGCATTACTGATAGTGTGGTCGCCATGGAGTGGAGGAGCTTGGGGAGCGTGTGGCGCTGTGGTCTAAACCACTGAGCCATTTGGGCTTGTCGATCAGAAGGTTGGCGGTTCGAATCTGTGTGACGGGATGAGCTCCCGTTGCTCTGTCCCAGCTCCTGCCAACCTAGCGGTTCAAAAGCACACCAGTGCAAGTAGATAAATAGGTACTGCTGCGGTGGGAAGGTAAACAACGTTTCCGTGTGCTGCTCTGTTTTCAGTCATGGTGTTTCCGTTGTGCCAGAAACGGTTTAGTCATGCTGGCCACATGACCCAGAAAGCTGTCTGTGGACAAACGCCGGCTCCCTTGGCCTGAAAGCGAGATGAGCACTGCAACCCCATAGTCATCTTTGACTGGACTTAACCGTCCAGGGGTCCTTTGCTGTTTTACCTTAGCATTCGTGGAACAGCGCTAACTGTGGATAACAGTAACTAGGGACTGGCATTGGCTGTATTGCAAGCCAGTTCCAACTCTGGTTGAAAGCTAAAATTCTCCAGGATTTCAGTCAGGGGCCATTCCCAGCCCTACCTGCGGATATCTGGTATCAAACCTAGAAGCTCCTGCAGGTAGACTACCGGCTCTGCCACTGACCTATGGCTTTTTCTCCTCTGCCACCCACTGTGCATTTTGCCTGTGCTTCAGAGGGTGGTGCTCTCCTCATTCTCTATATAAAGGTGAGCCTGGTTTATCAGAGCACTTAAAAGCAATCACCTCATTTTAGGGCTTTGATCTGTTAATTAAAAAAAATAAATTATATGGCTCCTACCAGTTGGGCTGCTGGAAATCTTAGCAAACTAATTACAGTGCACATCCAGCACAAAGTTTGCAAAGAGCCACGGGTGCTTAACTCTACAAGCCTCAAGCAGTTCCACAGACATTACTGGACATGAAGGCACAAGGACAAACTCAACGTGCAGGCTTTGCCATCTAGATTGTAAGTAGGGTATCCTTCTGCCCCAGGGTGTTTTAAAAAAATATGAACTCTGTTCCACAGTTACGATCCTGTCTGCTAGCTGCCTTTCTTTAGAAGTGCAGGGCCTGATAAAACTACTAACAGGTACAGGCATCTCTGTTTGCTCTCTGGACAAGGGCCAATATTTGCAGGAAGTCAAGGATGTGTTGTTTCATGGCAGGAAGTTCCCAGCCTTGCAAAACTAGGCCTGGATTACAGAGCCGCAGGTGTACGACTCTCAAACGGCTCATCCTCTGACTAATCAATTGTGTAAATAACGTGATGATGAATTATATCTGGGCATTTTGTAGTTTAGATTAACAGAGATTACCTGGTCTAAAAGGCAGCGTGTGTGCTGCCTGCGTGCTCTTAAAATGCAACACTTGAATGCTTTTAGTTTAATGAAAGCTTGTCTGTGTTAGCGAGTATCACAGAAAAACAAGCCTCTTGCAGGCACATGACCGTACATTTTACCACATTTATGCGAGCACAAAATGTGCAATTAGTTGCCAAGAATGTCCAACAGAGAGCCTTATTTGAACATTGTACGTCCTGGCTCTCAGATGGTCTTTACTATGATCTCCCTTCAGAGGCTTTATAAGTGCTTGCAAATTAGTAATTAGTGGTGCCCATTACAGTGGGTGTTGAAGCTCATTGGGTGACCACACACCTGGTCAGTCCACCTCAGAGGATCCTTGTGAGGCGAATAAAATGGGTAAAGTGGGGGAAAGCACAAACACTGCCCTGAACACTTTGAGGAGTGGACAGGATATAAAAATGCTAATAAAATTAATGTCTCTTGGAAGTTTACAAGTGGGACATTGGGATAACAGCATTGCCCTGGAGTTTGTCCCCACCATTTCAGATGCAGGAAGGGAGAAGGCTGTTTGTGTTATAATCTCTTAGGCTTTTTTTAAACAAAAAAAAGCAAGTTTTTGGATTGTCCACCCATTTTAGAGATGGGAACATGTTTTCTCAAAAGTCTTCTACAGGCTCAGTGCCTTGATGATGTGGCGCATATGATGCCTGATTAAATATTTTGAAGAGTCTGCTCTGCACAGTTGGCTGCTTCCCAGTTGTGGCACAAATTGTTTTTTTATCTGTGATTTCTGGATGCCGCAAGTGGATGGTATTGATGAGGTGACTTGTAAGGGTATGAAATGGGGGGGGGGGTGTATGTGAGAGAGAGAGGGAGGGAGGGAGGGAGGGAGGGAGGGCGAGCGAGCGAGGTCATGTTATACGTCTTAATATGCACATAAGCAGCAATTCTTGCCAACAGATTGTGGGTGAGATGGAGGCCTCAATCCACATACATTGTACTGGATCCCGAAAATCCTGTTGGTGGCTCATGGCTCTGAGTAAGCCATGACAAGAGCCAGAGTTTGGTTTTCCCTCCACCCCCACCCTCTGAAATCCTGCCTAAATTTGCATCTATAGTTATATATTAGTATGCACGTATTTTATGCAAACTGGTGTCCCAAATTTCTGAAGTAGCAAGTACCAGCAGTTTAAATGTATGATACCAGAACAGCCGTCATGTACCAAATAACAAGGAACTGTAGAGAATACCAGGACAGAAGCAGGATGGTCATACGTTCTAGACTAAGGGGAATTTAAGAAGCATAGACTCTGTTATGTACTGTAGCATTCTCAGGTGAATAGCCAATCCCATCCTGCTTGCTTGCCCCAGGGATCTACAGTACCAGTGGAAGACATTTTGCCATCTGAAGTAGAACCCACATCCTCTGTTTATTTTAAACAACTCTTACTCCATCATTCACACAATGATTCCTGCCTTCATTGATTCTTGAATTAGGCTGCTTCTCCCTGATGCATGGCTGGGCCAACCCAAATTCTCAAGGTATCTGTTCTATCTACTCTCCTTAGGCATCACTATCTGTCTCACTTGCAAGTTAAAGGTAAAGGTACCCCTGCCCATACGGGCCAGTCTTGACAGACTCTAGGGTTGTGCGCCCATCTCACTCAAGAGGCCGGGGGCCAGCGCTGTCCGGAGACACTTCCAGGTCACGTGGCCAGCGTGACATCGCTGCTCTGGCGAGCCAGAGCCGCACACGGAAACGCCGTTTACCTTCCCGCTAGTAAGCGGTCCCTATTTATCTACTTGCACCCAGGGGTGCTTTCGAACTGCTAGGTTGGCAGGCGCTGGGACCGAGCAGCGGGAGCACACCCCGCTGCGGGGATTCAAACTGCCGACCTTTCGATCGGCAAGCCCTAGGCGCTGAGGCTTTTACCCACAGCGCCACCCGCGTCCCTACTTGCAAGTTAAGTCCAACTAAATTCAGTGGGACTTACTTTTGGGCAGCAATGCTAAGGATCAGGACTGGACCATGATATTTTCTGCAACACAGACAAGACCAGTATTTAATTATAGAACCTTCTGTTTATTGACATGAGAAAGGGCTTTCATAAGAGCATAAGGAGAACCCCCCTTCTGGGTTAGGTCAAAGGCACATCTAGCAGCCTATGGAAAACTCACAGGCAGGATTTGAGAGCAAGCACGTTCTCCCCACTTGTGATTCTGGGTCACTGGTATATTGCATCTGACAGTGGAGGGACAAATTACTTAACATAATTTTGTAGGAGAAAAATTAATTCATAGTAAATCACACCTATTTTGCACCTGGTAGTGGTCCGGCATTACATCAGTATAGATGCAGGAGGGGGGGGTGGAGCTAGCCAGGTGGTGTGTTTTTAAATAAATGCTCGACCTTAGTTAATCATGGAGAAATCTTCAGCTGCGTGCAGAAATGATTAGGATAAACATGTGAGGTATTTGTGGTGAGGCTTCCCCGCCTCTCGTAAAAACTTGTATTAGATTTATGAGAGAAAAAGCTATTATTACAGTTATTCATTTTCCCCAGGAATGGAGATAAAGAGATTTGTTGTTTTTGCTATGCTTAAAATAAAACCATAATGGGAATCTGACCTCGGGCATTTCGGTTCTGCTACCTTAAAGAAAATGTTTAACTGTTTAGCATTCTGTACAGAAGCTATCAAGTGTTTTCTGCTTTGAACCCCACCCAAAGTTAACACCGTGGGAATCCTCTGCGTTGGAACATCAGTAGCAGTGCTGGATTTATGTATAAGCTAAACAAGCTATAGCATAGGGCCCCACTCCCCCCCCCCATATTCTTCTTCTTTATTGTATTTCACTATTAATATACTTCTTCTTGATTGTATTTCAGTTCAACAATTACTTTGATAAAATACATATCTTGTTATGTGCTTTAGATACCTATTAGGTCCATAAATTATCATATAGCATATATTCAACACAAAAAACAGTGACACTTTGTTGTTGACAAAGGACAGCTGGGCATATATAGGGCCCCATTACCTTCAGTAGCTTAGGGCCTCATCAAACCTAAATCCAGCCCTGATCAAGAGTCACATCCTAGTGTGCAGTCATGGCCATAACCTTAACTGACTGCGTTGAGAAAGAATATGGAGAGACTCAGTTTCCCCTCTGCTGATCAGGGGAATTCCGTAGCATTTGGATCCTCAAGACCGAATGGATCTCAACTGCTTTCCATTCAAATTACCTCAGGGGGGTTAAATCCACGTATTTCAATTGCAGATTGCACATTTTGAAAATTAACGTCAGCAGACATAGATAGTTGCAAAAGCTGTCTGCGATAGTAGAAGACGGAAGGAAGGAGGGAGGGAGGGAGGGAGGGAATGCCGACAGATAAGGACTGGGCCCTTGGGACGTTCTTAATTTGAATAGGAGCTGCTAGGTGCTGGCTGGTCAGCACTTTTCTAAATGTGCTGAACTCTGTTTTGTGAGAATCAGGCTGTAATTAAACAATTGATGCTACACTTAATAGTGGTTCTGTGCTTGACTGTGGTTCTTTTAAATGCACCTTTTTAATCCAGATGCTACAAGTAGAGAAACCCTGTAATTCGCAAGGTGTAGGTGCAGTGGGTATTATAGAAACTGTATACCTTCCCTGCCAGGTCCATATGAGCTGCCCCTATGTCTCTCTCTGTGGCTGTGCACACACCATGGTTTTAAAAATGTATTTGATGCATGTGACTGTCTCCAGAAAAATAATTTGGGAATTGTAATTTGTTGAGGGTGCTTTGCTGAGTATACCTGAAGAAGCGTCTCCATCTCCATCGTTCTGCCCGGACAATAAGGTCCAGCGCTGAGGGCCTTCTGGCGGTTCCCTCGCTACAAGAAGCCAAGTTACAGGGAACCAGGCAGAGGGCCTTCTCGGTAGTGGCACCCGCCCTGTGGAACGCCCCCCCCACCAGATGTCAAAGAGAAAAATAACTACCAAACTTTTAGAAGACAACTGAAGGCAGCCCTGTTTATGGAAGCTTTTAATGTTTAATAGGTTATTGTATTTTAGTGTTCTGCTGGAAGCCGCCCAGAGTGGCTGGGGAAACCCAGCCAGATGGGCGGGGTATAAATAATAAATTATTATTATTATTATTATTATTATTATTATTATTATTATAGCACATTACTTCTCCCAAAGGATCCCGAGAACTAGTTTGTGAATGCTGTTGGGAACTGTAGCTCTGTGAGGGGTAAAGTACAGTTTCTAGGATTCTTAATGTCCTTTAAATGTGCTACAAATGTGTGGGGTGCATGCAACCTATGTCTTGAAAGCGAAGTATATAGGGATTGTTTGTTATATGTATTTTTAGCAACTGAAAAATAAGTTTTAAAAAACCAAAAAACACTGCTAATTCTTCAGCTGGGAATTCCTCCATACAATGACCGCAGCATAACACAGACACATGGGCCTCATTAAATCTGGAAAAGTGCAAGAGGAAGGGCACCCAGTCCCTATTGGCCTAAAAACAACAACATGCTTGCATTCTGCCAGTTGTGCACAACAGGCACCAATGAGGTGTTTGTAGATTATGGTCAGCTTCTGGACAGACCGTGGTGGCTTTGTTTAGCAATTGACTATTCCAGCATACTCAAGGCTGCTGTGTCCCAGCCTTAGGATGCTTGCAAACATATCTATCTACAAGAACACCTGGCCAGTTTATTTATCAAACAGGTTTCCAGTGTTTGTTTGTTTAACTTGAAACCTTGCTCGGGATAGGGAAGGGCGTCATTTTGTGGTTGTCAAGTGGGACACCAAAGAGCACTCTGCACAGCCAGCTGTTTCTGGAAACAGGAAGAGCTGCTTGCTCCCAGCACATTCCTGCTTAGAAGAGAGCAAAACAGTTGCTAGTTCTTGCAAAGCTCCTCCTGTGCAGTGGTGCCCCTGCGAACACCCTAGAATGGATGAACTGGAGCAAAGGGGTGTAATCTGATGACCACTGAGTGTTTAATCTCTGTTCATCCCAGCAGGACTTGTAGTATACTTACCTGGATACTGGACTTTGCCCCTTGTTATGGAAGGACATGGAGCCTGTCATAAGTCAGGGACATCCTGTCTTGATATAGCACTTGATAGACACAGGGTCAGTATTCACGCTCAGTCCCATTAGCACATCCAAAATCACATATGGAAACAGTGGTGCAACACAGATAGAGATGGCAACAATTTCTGTATTCTCTGTACAGTATTCTGCATTTTACTTGCCACTGGGATTAGTGGAATCACTGTCATTAGCTGTGCATACAAATGTTTTCTCACAAGGATAGATCACAGTTCCACAGACAGAGAAGAAAAGGTCTAGTGCGATCCAGCCTTCTGTAAAATCAACAAGAGCAAGGCCCAAGTCTGTGTGGAACTTTCCACAACTACAGGGCTTTTGCATGTTAAAGGGCTTTTTCTTTTAATCTCTGCAGTGAGTATACCCTCACCATAAGCACGTTGTTTGCAAAGGAACCTACTTGCAAGAAAGCATGGCTAGATTCACAAGCGAACGTCACCATCCCATCCATGTTTAGTGGGAAGTGAGTCCCACCAGGTTCAGTGGGATAAAATCGTAGTACGGAGGATTGCAAGCCTAATGCTCAAAATTTCCTTTCTGTGCAGCTGCAGCCATATTGCCCAGCTGCTATCACTTTGAGCAAAATGATTTAAATGAAATCAAGCAGCAAGATAAATTCCACTTCTCAGCACAGAGAATGGGGGTGCCAGGAGACAGGTGGTACAAGCTATTACGGGATATGAGAGGAGTCGTGTCACTCAACAAACCAGGTGAAATGAAGAAGAGGAAGGGAGACTGGCAAAAATTTAATTTAGCATGGTTTGCTTGCATGTGCAGAGGGAGCCCAGACAGGGAAATGAGGCAGGGGACCAAAACGGACAGCTCCTAAACAGCAAGAGGTCCAGTTTGCTTATCTTGATTAGATATAATTAAGTCCTGGGTGAATTTCTAGATTCCCTGTTAACATAGCAGGAACTTTGGTAAACAAGCTATTTGCCAGGCAGCAGACTGCAGGCGTGACTTTCGACTTCCTCCTGAGGGTTTGATCCCACTCTAGCAAAGTAACATGACTTTTAAAAAGTCACCTTAAAAGCCCTATGATTCTATGTCATGCGAAGAAGAGAAAAACAACAACAACATTTCTGAAAAGCAGATCAGGTGTACATACTGACGACATTGATCTGCATAGAATTTGAAACTCCAAATGCAGCCATTGTGCCCAGTCGGTACATCATCTATATCTTTCCTCCCTGTCTTTGTAGATTAGGTCCTCCGTTCTTTATGCCCCTTAGTATGGTTCCCCCCATGCAAGAGGTGAAGGGAGTAGGTCACTGTGTAAAGAAACACTCCAGTACAGCCAAAGATACATAAGATAATATAAGATGGGCATTGCATACCCATTACCCTTACCTGGCAATGATGTTTTCAGAGGTACTATAGCATGGTCTTAGCCTCCTTGGCTTTCTTACATGTGTACAGCCATTTGATTATCCGAGCATTGCGTTCAATTACTGACGTGCCAGTAGGGACCTGTTCTGTGAGCTCTTCTTCCAGGAGCCCATCGTCGCCGCTGTGCCTCGTGAAGTCGCTTTCCGACGTTGCCACACTGATGCTGCGGATACGGAAGGAGAAGTTGTCAGAAGCCACTGAAAAGTTCTCTTGGCCAAGGTCCTCTATGACCTCAGTGTCCAGGCCACAGTACTTGAAGAACGTGTCAAACTCGGAGAAAGATTTCGAATACCGAGAACTAATGTCCGACTGGGACCGGTGCAGACCTTTCCGCCTCGCCTCCTTGATCTCATGAGGGGCTACCGTCAAATTTGAGGCGTTTTCACATCTGCTGGTGAGGATGGTTGCTGGGCCTGTGTTTGGGGGAGCATTGTGTCCTGCCAGATCAGAGTTTTGGCTTGTACCTTTGACCAAAATGGACCCTTCTGTTTCAGGGTCAGCAATATCTTCCTTCAGAATGGCCTTGGCTGCCTCAGAAGGCGACGGTTTTTCCTTGAAAGGACTCGGGAACAGCCTTCGGACCAGACTCCCACGAGCGCTCTCGTGGCTTTGACCTCTCACAAACTCACATTTCTGGCGATAGATCACCAAAGAGTCCGGCCTGATCTGCCTCTTGGCACTGCTGCGCCTCACGATCGGAAGGTCACCACGCTCAAGCGGAAGGGGGCTGGGATCCATGGCGTTGTTCATGTTGGATGTGGCACTCTTCTCCTCAGGCAGGTGATTGTTGACTTTCTTGCTCTCCACGGAGGTGCTCTCACTGCTGCTGCTCTCGGAAGCTGAGCTGAGTGCGGTGACCGGCTCCTGCTTAGTGTTGATTACCTGCTGGCTTTTGACATACTTGGCCTTGTCTGCTGCCAGTCTTTCCACGGCGCTTTTCCGGCCCGGGTTGCCCGCCTCCATCTGCTTGCGAAGGTATTCGGGGCCCTTGTTGAGCAGTCGCACTGTCAGCGAGGAATGGAAGCCAGAGATGGCATGCATTCTCACCGCGTGAGAGATTTCTGTTGGCATAGCAGGCAGCTCTCAGGTGTCCCACGAGCTCACTCACAGTTCAGGAAAAAGAACAGCCGATTTCACAATCCCTGTCTCCTCCCTTAAGTCCCAAGCCTTCATGGATAACAAATTCAGGGATCCTTCCCCAAAACAGCTAGCCCCTGCTGCTAGCTTGCTCTGTTATATTACTATTATCTATCTTTGGAAGGAGAAAACTCCTCTCTGCCTTAGAAACAGCCCAACTGTCTGCGCTTGCTGCAGACACTCTGACTGCACGCACCTCCACACAGCTGCTTCCTTGCACATTCACCTTTCGGCTGAGCCAACCCCTGCGAGCCAGACACAGCCAATCCTGTCTGAGCGCCGAGGCCTCTCTGACATCACCCAGAGAAGGAGATGGCTCATTGACGTTAGAGGAGTGGCTCAGACCATCAACACTCCATTTGCCTCTAGCAAGGACAAGCCCTAATGAAAGTGTTTGTTTAGCATATGCTTTCAGCTGCCTCCTCCTACAGCAGCCAGGGAAGTCTCTCTCTGTGAATGAAAATACCGGAGGAGTCCTCCTGCAGCAAAAGGCTGAGGGACAGAGGTGCCTGGGAGAGAAACTTTGCAAATGCACTGCTGCCTCCTCCTAGAGAGGAACTAGGTTTAAAAAGGGCATGGGATTGCTTCTATTACCTGTTTTGTTATTTTGGAAATTTCCTGCAGCAACTCCAGAACTAGCCCTATTAAATTCTAGGGCAACAACAGGGGACGCGGGTGGCGCTGTGGGTAAAAGCTTCAGCACCTAGGGCTTGCCGATCGAAAGGTCGGCAGTTCGAATCCCCGCGGCGGGGTGCGCTCCCGTCGTTCGGTCCCAGCGCCTGCCAACCTAGCAGTTCGAAAGCACCCTTGGGTGCAAGTAGATAAATAGGGACCGCTTACCAGTGGGAAGGTAAACAGCGTTTCCGTGTGCTGCGCTGGCTCGCCAGATGCAGCTTTGTCACGCTGGCCACGTGACCCGGAAGTGTCTCCGGACAGCGCTGGCCCCCGGCCTCTTGAGTGAGATGGGCGCACAACCCTAGAGTCTGTCAAGACTGGCCCGTACGGGCAGGGGTACCTTTACCTTTTAGGGCAACAACAGACACACACATAACAAGGAGCCCATAAGTCATTGACTCAAAGCTGCTAGAAATTTCAGAGAACCATTAGGGAAAGTGAGATAGAAGCAGCCAAAGATGCATTTTCTTTTTAAACCAGAGTTTAAAACCCAGCGACCTTTCGCATGCACATCATTTGCTCTATCATTGAATTGCAGTCCTTCCTTCACCCAATGAATACCCTTCATTCTTTGCTTTAAAAAGCCATCAGGCAGCTCAGCAGCTGCTGTGGCTTGCCCTGGGGATATGCAAAGCGATTGCTATCTGGAGATTTCCTACCTTGAAGTCAGAGGTGCTGTCAAGCTTGGTTCATTAATATATGTCAGGTGCTTAGGGACTCATCCTTATGCAAGTTATTATTAAGGCATTTGACTGGAAGAAACAGTTGTGACATTTGGAAACTGACTGGTCAAATACTGTCAATGGGCCACCTATCATTTGACTTTAGTCTAATGTGGCCAAGAACTGCAAGAAGTCAAGAAGAAACATATTGGGTAATTGCAGCCTCCATGTTGTTGTTTGGTTGTAGCAGGCCTTAGATCAGTGTTAGCCAAACTTGGGTCTCTGGCTGCTTTTGAACTACAACTCCCATCACCCCTAGCTAGCAGGACCAGTGGTCAGGGATGATGGGAATTGTAGTCCAAAAGCAGTTGGAGACCCAAGTATGGGAAACACTTCTTTAGAAGCAGATACCACACTCACCACTGCCATGCAGTCCCTGGAAAGTCCTCCCCATACCATGAGGGATTGTGGCCCTTGGGAAAACAGGCTTCCCACCTCTGCTCAGTTTTCAAAGGAAATATGTATTTTTCTATTTATTGCTTTGTTCCAGTCTTCCCAGCATGACTGATTGCAACTTAAGTTCTTACTTCTGCTCATTACCTCCATCTTGGCTGTGACATCCTGCTCAGACACAATTTTCTGCCACACCAACCCCAGTCCCAGGTGTTTTCAGTAGATCAGATGCTTCATGACAGACATTCTCCACGTTTACACAAGGCAAGCTCTGAATGTAGACAGGATGCCCTGTTTTCTGCTAGCCCGCTTCTTGGACCTTCTTCTGCACTGAGAGGCTTCAACCTGCACGTGATAACAAGCTTCTCCTAATTGAATTAACTCTCGAGATTAAGTAATGTTGTGGATAACAAGGGTAAAATGGCTCAGCTCTTCACTATAATTATATCAATTCCAAAGCTGTAAGAAACAAATGAGCTTAAATCCCAGCATTCAAGGTTCATTAGGTTTACTTTGTATGGAGCAGAATCACACATGCGATCAGTTCTTATAGTGCATGCAAATGTTCAGGACAAGAGCCCAGTGTTTCTTGCTGGACTGCGTGTGATGTTCATAAAACTTATGTTCTGAGTTCCATTTAAAAAAACACACACATACACACACCGTCCTTATGAGGTCATTTCTGCATCAGGAATCTGTTAGGATATTTCTGCTTTTGCAAACAGCTGATGTCACTGGAGAGATGTTCAGACCACCGACAAAAGGATAAGAAGAGGCCGCTCTAAGTTGTGTCAATTGATACGCAAAGCAATCCAACTGAGCTGCTTTCCCCCGCCTCCCCCATTGTGAAGCATCGACTAGAGAGGGAGGAGAAAGAATCGGCAAAGGATTATCAAAGTTCACCCAAAGTGCAACCCAGACAGGCTTGGAACTGTCTGCATATAATCCCTGGTCAAACAGTTAAACTGTAAGGCTTGGCATACAATTTTCATTTCCTTGATTGAGAAAGAGGCACCAGTTGCTAACTGCGTGGGGAGAGCCGAGCTGCCAATCTGAGCAATGTTAACAGTTTGCTCTTTGCTTGTCTCCAGAATTCCTCTGTCAGTGAACTTCTGCCTAATCACACGCTTGTGAAGCAGCCAAGGTGGCCTCTTCTCTCTCTTAACGCCAGTCTTGATCAAGGAAAGGCCTACCATTGACTTCAAAGGGTTTGGGATAGGTGAGTGCTTATGACCTCATTTCAGAAAAAGGAAGGCTGAGAGAGAAATGATGTTGGGACTGGGAGGGAGGCCTGGAGATGCTATCTGTGAAAAGCTCGCAGGTGGTAGGACTGAGAATCTGCTGAAGAAAGCCTGACAGCGAGTTGAAAGGAAGGGCAGATCCATATAATACATGCAACACACGTCCGTCTCTCCTAGCATCGTCACCGCACCGTACATTTAAATACTGGGAACTATAGTTTGTTAATGGTGCTGGGTCTGTGAGACGGAGTCATTTGCATAAAATGTACATTGGATGCACTTGAAATCAACAACTTTTGTGTCCAAATATGGCAACCCTATCATATGACTACAAGGGAGAATGATGATTAAGGCAAAAGGACACACTGAAAACCAGGTTTAGAAGAGAGATAGCACAATGTCCATGTTCAGGAACTGAATTCCATGGACAGGGAATAATAGAATTATAGAACTTAAAGAACTTGGAAGGGACCCTAAGGGTTGTCTAGTCCAAACCCCTGCAATGCAGGAATCTTTTGCCCAACATGGGGCTCGAACCCACGACCTTGAGATTAAGAGTCTCCTGCTCTACCGACCGAACTATCTATTTTATACTAATTGTAACAAGGGGAGAACTGGTGCAATTTATTTTGCACTAAGAATAACAAGGGGGAACTGGTATAGTCATTTAAAAGAGCAGGAGTTGTTCACCTGGCTCAGGGTGGTAGAGCAGGAAGAGCAGAGGGAAGAGGTGTACAGGCCTCCTGGTGACTTTCCTGACATCTTTGTAAATGGACTTTCCCCCCTTTCGATGGACGTGGGTGGGGGACCTTTATGGCTCCATGAGCCAGAACCTTATCAGGATCTGCCTCTCAGGCAATTTTGACAGGTGGGCAGTGGGGATTGCAGTTTACCCCTCACAGGAAGCGTGTTCTCCTTCATGGGGAGCACGTGTTGCAGTGGGGTCTAACAGGACACCCCCTCTTGGTTACTGGGCGGGACCATTTGGATGGCCATGACTGTGACTGGGCCAATTTGGGTTGTTGGGGAGATTTTGATGTGGCCATTTAGAGGGTTGGCCCGAAGGTTATATATTCTTGGCACGCAGCTTGGTACAGTCTCTCTTTGCTGCGTGCATCGGATCTCCCGCCCACCGTCCCTAATTTAGGGCTGTTGCGTTTGACCTTGCTATGCCTGTCATGGGGTCGTCTGCTTTGGGGGCAGGGGCCTGGTAGGAATTCTGTCCATTTGGCAGATTGGCTGGTGCCATTTGGTTTTTGCCTACTGCAAACAACTTGTAAGGTTGTGGTTAGGCATTGGTTAAAATTTGTTTGGTGGAGGGGTAAGGGCTGGCTGTGCCTGCCCCTCCAATGCTGCTGCTGCAAGGGAATTCCGTTAAAGGAATCCAGGGGTTTGCCAGACATTTGTCCGTATCCCTGGCAAGGGGCTAGGGCCGTGCAAGCCCCTGGGAGCATGCAGGGAGGGGTGACGGTATGGTGCCCAGCCCCATTCTCTCCCCAGTATTGTTTACCCTTACTGGCTTTCGCTGAAATCCGGAAGTCAGTTCTGTTCCGGGGTGGGGAGAGATAGTCGTAACCAATGCCTAAGCAACCAATCACATTATGTATTTTAATAAAGTTGTGGCCAAAATTATGCCAAAAACCTTAAACAAAAATTCTGTGTGAATTGTGATTTATTTAGGGGGGTGGCTTGGGGACCTCGACACGCAACTATAATTCTCAGGACCCTTAACAAACCAATAGCTCCCAGGATTCCTTTAGAAAAGCCATGTGCTTTAAATGTGTAGTGTGGTGACAATCCTGGAATAGACAAACAGTCCGAACTGTATAAGGCAACTTCAAAAAGATATTTTTGTTTGTCCTGTACATTTTGTATTCAATAAAATCTTACTTGTTCATTTATTTATTTTTTAAAAAACCCAACCCTTGGAGGTTTCATGCGCTGTTAGCTTCCCTTTGATTCTTATCTTTCCAGTCCCTCTCTCGCTGCTCTTTGCAGGCAATGGATTCTTCCCCCTTTGCTTGTTATATCCTGTCCAGCCTACTGCGATATTATCTAACCCCGCTCTCTCTCTTTCACAGACAACGGATCTATAAGGATGTCTGATTACTGAAAGCGATTGCCCACGGGCAGCTAGGAACAAAAATAGCCCAGCACAGCATCGTGACTAAACTGCCGTGCTGCATTTGACGGGCAGGGCTTTTAAGACATTTCATCCTCCTTGTGTATCAGATGCGGGGCTGAGATCTGCAGACCAGTTCAAAAAGTCCTTATGTTAAATTAGATCCTGTTCCCTCCCCACCCTCTAGCTTTAAACTCTCCTGTCTGCCTTAGTTAACCAGGTGTGTGGTAGAAATGGCAAGGCAGGAGAGAAGGCCTTTCCTTTTCTTCCCTTCTCGCCATCTTCCTCTTGGGGGTGGTTTACCTAGAGATGAACCCCAGCAGCTCACGTGCCACCTTGACAGACTCTTTGAACCTAATCTACCTCACAAGATTGTAGTGAGGATAAAATAGGTAGAGAGGAGGTGGAGGAGGATAAATAATCAATAATCCCCATTATTTGGAGGGGGGAGCCCTTCACCACAATGAAGGGTGTTGCCCCAGCACAACTTGT